GCAAGTACTATATTTACAAGAAGGCTATAGTTATTTGTAACAATCTGTAGTAAATTTAGATTTTTATAAAAAATTTTTTATAAATAATTTTTATATATACTCTAACAAATATTTAATTTAATTAGTTTGATAATTACTCTAATCTCATATAGTTAAATATATCTTTTAATAAGTTATTAACAATTTACTATAATTTTAAATATAGAAAATATGCAATTGTTAATTTGTTATATTCAATAATTGTGATACCGAATTTAGTAAACATATAATTGTTTATTAGTAATTATTGTATTGAATTATTATAACACTTGTTGGTTGATTTGTAATACCAAATTTAACAAATATATAATTGTTATCATTATAATAAAAATAAAGCAATATGTAATTATTAGTTCATGTTTAATTATTTTTTTTTTATTTTTATTTTTTTTTAGCTCTTTGACAGTTTTGTTAAAGCATAAATACAAAAAAACTTTATTTAACTATTAATACAGCAAATAAATCTATTTTCTTTAAATTGCAGACCCAACATCTCCTGGCTACAATATACCATGCTCAAAAGCAACTTGTTATACTAACTTCAAAAAAAAAATTTCAGTTAGAAGACTTTGTTAGCCTGTCGAGAACTAATCTTTTCAATCTTTTTTTCTTTACCAAGAGTACAAGAAAGTAAAATTCTATATTACCAATACAGAATTAATATTAAGATGAAAAAAAACAAAAACTAAAATTAAAAAACAAACCATATAATGAAAAAGAAATTAAAAAGGAAAAAAAATAAAGGAACAGAAAAATATAAAAAAAAAAAAACAAAGAGAAAAGCCTTTATGAGCTAATCAATCTGCCTTTATTAAGAAACAGTTTGTAGTCAAATAGTAAAAATTATATAACTAATACAATTATAATATATCTTGGTTGTAATATTTTACTTCAAATAAAACTTTCTTTTTGATATACGACCAAATCCAAATACTAGTTAAATAGAAAGTCTCAATCTTTTGTAGATAGTACTATATTTACTTTCATAATTACACCAAACATATAGTTGCAATTCACCTGGTTATTCCAATTTGGAAGGGGTAAACAATGCTAATCTTTTAATGAGAGTAAGCTGTTTTGCCTACTTTTTTGAAAATTTTGTTAAAAGTACAAGTAGATGATAGTAAAAAATATAGACTTAGTACTTTTCTTTAAGGAGAGTATGTGTTTTTTTAAAAGTAGTAATACAAGTAGATTCAAGTACACTGCTGCTCTTCTTTTCAGTAAGTGATAAACTCTAAACTTGTTAGCAAGTAGCATATGAGAACTACTTCTAAATAACAAGTATCATCTCTACAATGAATAATAAGCTCTAAACTTATTAGCAGATAGTATATGAGAACTATCTCTAAATAATAGGCACTGGTTTATAGTTTTTATCAGTCTTATATCCTTTTTCTCTAACATGGTTTTACTTTTTTTGTTGAAAATTTAGTTTTGAAAAGTTGTATGTTTAATTATTATAATGCTATAATACTGAATTATTTATATTATTTTATATTAAATTGTTATATATTAAGCTAATAAAATAATTTACAATCTCTAATAAATAGAGCTAATGAATAGAGCTATCTTTAATACAAAGTTCTATTCTAAATTTGGTTATTTTTCTTAAAAATTTTTTTATAAAATTGCTTGTTATTACAAAGTATACTTTATTATCTTATTAAAGATTTTTAAAAGAAATCTATATTGTAATATAGAAATTCTTAGGATATTAACTATATCATTTGACTTAATATGCAGAGGGTAGGGTATCTAGCATAGCAAAAAAATTTGACATGTTTTCTTAAAATTTGTGTCATAGTATGCCTTTTGGCATACTATAAAATGTTATATATTATTTTTGTATTTATAATACTATATATATATCTGAATATTATAATTTATATACTGTACCTAGTGGCATACCAAATTTGTTTTTGGCATGCCAGTGCATACCACTATTGGCATACCACTGTTGGCATGTCTTTGCTACTATGCTAGACACCCTAGCAGGGGTAAGAAATATATATAGATAAAGATAAAACAAAAGACGAAACTATAACAAAAAATAAGAAATAAAACAAAGAGAAATACCCAAGAAAAAAAACAAATACAAGACAAAAACAAGACAAAAATATAATAGAAAAGCCTTTACAACATAGTAGATAAAGAGTCAAAAGTATACACAATATAGTGGATATATATTCAAAGAGAAATATTAGTTTATTAGATATAAAGGTAAGAAAATAAAAAACAGAATCTAATCTGCTTTAGGAAAAAAAGCAAGGTTTATATAGCTTTAGAATTATTAAGAAAACACTACCATTATATTGGTAAAACATGTCAAAGTACTATACTAAGGTACTATATTAAAATATTATAATAAGGTACTATACTAAGATACTATACTAAGATACTATAGTAAGATATTATACTAAAATATTATACTATACTAAGGTATTATACTAAGATACTATATAATAAAGTACTATAGTAAAATATTTATACTAAATTTTAAATATATATCTAAATTCAAAATGGTCAAAAATTTACTAATAATATAGATTTGAACTATGTGATCTATACTAAACTATAAATAGTAATTTGTATAATTAATCTAATAAAAATATACTAATATAACAATATAAAAAAAAATATTGTATTATAAAAAAAAACAAAATTAAAACCTTAATATTTTTATTATTAGAGATAATACTAACCTGGCAAACAAAAAAAAATATAGTCTGGGAATATACTATAAATAGATAGTGCCAATCATACCTGAAAATTTCGAAAGCATGATCACTGATTAATCATAGCTATACATTTTTTATTTCTTTTTATTTAAACAATATACAAAAAAACAATTATAAATTTATATTCTTATATATCTTTCCAAAAACAACTTACTATGTGGGATTATTAGAAATTGTTAAAATTTATTGTTTTTAATATCTATTTACATATTGTTTAGCAACAAATAGATATATAAAATCTTGTAAAATTCTGGCACAAATATATGCAAGTGTAATGACCAATCAAATATAGAAACTTGCTTGTAGATCTTTCTAGAACCTGATTTCCAAATTTGATATATTCCCAGACTAAAATATTTTTATAATTTTCTAAAAGTATATTAATAAATTTTAATATATATAAAACTCTATTATTTATAGTATAGTCTTCTTAGAAGCAATTTTTGCCTTTTAAGACAGGTTTAAAATCTGACTATTTTCTCTCTATTATTATTAAAGGTGTGATTATTGAATCATGATTGTCTTATTAATAAGAAGAAAAAAACTAAATAAGCTTTCTATTTAATGTTAAGCTATAAAACAAAAAATAATTAAAATATATTATTTATTAATTTTTTTAAATATATATTCTTTAGCATAAAACCCAAGCAGAAACCTACTAGTTAACCAAAGATAAGGTTTATAAATATATTTATACTTGATGAATATCTGAAAACATTTTTCTAGTAATCTTAAATCAACTAAAATTTTATAGCCTTATTAAAGTTTGAAATCTTTAATAAAAGCTCTTCAAATTTAACATTTAAACAGTAAAAAGAGTTTGGGTTGTGTGCTAATTTTTTAAAGATTTCTAATTTTAATAAGTGATTTTGTTTTTATTGCCATTATTTCTGGTCTAATATTATGTATACACACAAAGAAGCTTTGAAAAAAAATACAAGAAAAATATAATATCTTAGAGATATTCAACCCAATCATCAAAAAATAAATTAAATAAAATATTAATTATAGTTAGTTTTATTAAAATGCCACTGGTGTGTTTTAATAAGCTTATAAACTCAAAAAGAAAGAAAAATTTTTTGAACATCTAACCATAGCCAATTAATTAACAACAATAATTTTTGCGTTTATATATATAATGCAGATTCTGCTTAATTTAAACAGTCAAATAAAAATATGCTCAAAATGTTCGTCTTGCAGCATTAATCACAACAAAGTAAATGTAAAAATGCTAACCTTTAAACGTTTTTAAATACTACACCTTTAGACATACCAGACTTAATAAGCTTTGACATCTAATCATAAACTGCAAATATTATAATTATCGTAAGTTATCATTAATGCAATAATCCTTTTTTCTTCCAAGGTTGATAAATACACACCGTGTACAATACCATATAGTAAAGTCCAAAATAACACGTAAGAAAATAGCCCACCAAACACTCCTTCTGTCCAGACATCTGTCCTGCCGCGAAAATATATCCCTGGCTTTGTTTGTGTTTTTAAAGCCCAAATGAGAAAAGACGTGAACAAAGCAGTGATACCGTAGAAGATAAACCCAAAATAACCAGTTAACCCTAAGATTCCAGCAGCTGAACCGGTAATTGCAGACATAGAAGAGCGAATAAATGTGATCGTTTTAACATTATGAGCAATGTTTTCTGGAACATACAAAGATGCTTGGTTTTGTGGGGATCGAGTGGCCATGAAGTTCTAAATGATAAAAGTTTACAAGTGAACAGTCACAGATGTGACATGTGGTAATTCAGTTTTAGTGCTCTGATTGGTCAACTTTTGAGTGATACGAGATTTGTTGATCTAATGTTTACCTTCATTTCTCCGAATACACTCAACATCTCACGTAATGAATAACAACAATTCCCTTCCTTCTCAACAGTATTACTCTCAAGAAGTGTCAGAGCTGTCAATGGATAACTCTCAGCAACAACACGTTCCCTCACCACAATCTCAACAGCTGGATTCCGCAAACTTTGCTAATCAGCTGATAAAGATCGAACATGAGTCACAATCTGGTGATAATACCTCTGCAGTAACAAAGGAGACTGATACAAAGAAGAAGAGAGCAGGTCCTAAAAGAAGAAAAGTTACCCACGGTATTGAATTCGTCTTATTCGTTGCCTTTTCCAGAAATCTCACAATCTCACTAATTGATCCAAGTATTTATAGCATGTGTATATTGTAGGCGATCTCACATGACATGTGACGATGGTAATTTTGTTCTTGGCTATATTGAATTATCGTTTACTTAGAACAGAGCTTAACTGCGATCCTAAACAAGGTCGCCCTTGCCAACGTTGCATAAAAAGAAGCATAGGACATCTTTGTCACGATGAACCAAAAGGTTCTCACGGTCCTCAACAAATTGGTGGCGGAAATAAT